CCTGCAAATGTTTGTACAAGTTGAAAAATGAATGAATATACGTCTCTGACAAATTGCATATGGATTAATGCTACTTTTGGGGAGGGGTTCTGAAAAATTGAGTGCATGCCCAATGCTGCCTCAGAAATGAGACAATTCCAATCAGGGACAGATGACAGTTTTGCGGGGCCCCGGGCAGCATATTTCCGCGGGGCCCCCCCTTTGCCACGGCACATGCGCAGTGACGCCATGCGCATGTGCAGCGGCACCACGGCGCATGCGCGGTGCTTTCTGAAGCGTGGGGCCCGGGGCAGCCGCCCCGTTCGCCCTGCCCTATATCCGCCCCTGATTCCAATGGAGATGGCTGAGTGACATTTCAAATGTTTCACTGAAACATACAACAAATTCATAAGGCCCTGATCACTTACTTATCCATGTGTTTAACTTGACTACTATTGATGGAACTAGTGTCACTGACACAGTCTCTATATGCCCAATGGGTGGCATACCTTATAACATTTAGGGTGTGTTTACACAGCACCCTAAATTCGAAATAAGATATATACAATTTGTGCTATGCAAATTGCATATCTTATCTCAAATCTGCTTTAAAATAGTTTATTTTGAAATTTGGTGCATCTACACAGTGCCAGATTTTGAAATAACATGCTATTTTGAGCCATCCCTTATCCCTCGTGCAATGAGGTTTACTGGGATGGCAAAAGAGCGTGCCCATTATTTTGAAAAATATTTCAAAATAACAGGCAGCTTGTGTAAACATAGGGTAGCTATTTTGTGTAGACGCAACCTTATTCCCTGATGCTTTAAAAACTCATAGACCCCAATCTAGGACAGTGCTGGTTATGTAACTGATGTACCTTGTGATCTCTATAACTGATATTTATAACTTTGCATAACCCAAGCGTGACCCAGATGTGCCTTCCTTTTTTAACCTGTGTAACATGAACTTGATTCCAAAACAGTAGTTTTAATACAACATTTCTATCTGTGTTTCCATGATAGGGGTATAAGAGATTTAGGCCTTGACCCTGAAAACACATACATTCATGACTTTATTCATAAGTCTCAGGTCCTGTGGCACCTTAGAGAACACACACATGCACGCACAGATATATATGAGCAAAACCTACTTCTTCAGATGAGCAGAGTAATCCTTTTCACTCAGGCTACATCTAGACTGCATCCCTCTGTCGACAGAGGGATGCAAATCAAGCACATCGAAATTGCTAATGAAGCAGGGATTTAAATATCCCGTGCTTCATTAGCATAATCATGGCCACCACTTTTTTTTGACATGGAGCTTTTTTGAAAAAAAACCCCGGCAGTCTAGATGCAGATCTGTTGAAAATAAACCCTTTTTCGACAGATCCTGTATTCCTCAAAAACTGAGATTTACAGGATCGGTCGAAAAAGGGTTAATTTTTGACAGATCCACATCTATAATGCCGTTTTTTCGAAAAAGGTCCATGTCGAAAAAACATGGTGGCCATGGTCATGCTAATGAAGCACGGGATATTTAAATCCTTGCTTCACTAGCAATTTCGATGCGCCTAATCTACATCTCTCTGTCGACAGAGAGATGTAGTCTAGACACACCCCGTATGAATCAACTTCCAGATTAAATGAATCCAGAGTCTTCCCATCTTCAGGAAACATTGCAAATCTTCCCTTTTCTACTCACTCTCCTGAAGCAGCTCCAAATGAACAAATAGACCACACAAACCAAAAACCCCTTTCCCAAGGACAGTTTTTATATCTCAACAAGGGAGAAAGCCATGAAGAATCCACAAAGTCTAGCAAGGATTTTGCTGTTGCTAATCAATTTCACATGGATGATATTCTGATAGTGAGGTGATGGGTGGCCGTCAGAGTTTCCTGTAAGCTGTATGCTCGTGTACCCACTCAGGACAGATTCAAATGCCTCTCAGATGATTAGCAGAGTGCCCACAACCAGGTTTATTTGCTTCCACTGTTGGCACACATTTGCACATGCCTCGGTGCACATAAAAATTCTGCATATGGAAGGAAAAGATTAGAAGGAATGTTGGTGGAAGTATAAAACTCTTAGATAACAAATAGGTTGCATACTTACAGGATATGCATTATAAATATTTGCAGGCTCAGGGCCCAGAGACATTTAATTCTCCAATATACTCTAGCTCCCCCATCCCTTTCCTTTCTAATTTTAGTTAGCAGTTTAAAAGGCTCCTTTATTTTTCTTTTCCAGTCCTCTCTGGTAACTCTTTCCTTTTCTGGCTTACTGCATTTGGCAGGCTAGATGCTTGTTATCTCCAGGCATTTATCTAGCCCTGTTAAAAGTCCTGGTCTTCCCAACATCCTCTGGCAAGGAGTTCCATAGGTTGACTGTGCACCCTGTGAAGAAGGTTTGCTTCTTTTAATCTTGCTGGGTATTAATTTCATTTGATGACCTTTAGTTCTGATGTCATGGTAACAAGCACTTAACTTTACCTTCTTCACTTTTTCCACCCCAGTCATGATTCTATAGACCTCTCTCATGCCCCCCTCCCCTTAGTCTCCTCTTTTCTAAGCTGAAAAGTCCCAGTCTTTTCCATCTCGCCGTTCCAATCATTTTTGTCGCCCTTTTCTGACCCTTCTCCAATGCCCATAGCAATTATTATTACCGTACTAGTCTCCCTGCTGTGGCGGGCTGTATCAGGGGAGGCCGTGCAGCCCTTTAAAGCCCAGCCATTGAGGGCTCCCTCCTCCCCTCTGCTGCATGGGCGAGGCCTCCTGCTCTTGACCCAGGAACAGAAACAAGCCTGGGAGCGGGCTGGCTGCTGGAACCCGGAAGGCGCCTGTCTGCGGGCAGCCGAA